ATATATATATATATATATATATATATATATATATATCCGTGCCTTTATTTGCAATAATGTGATATGCATTCGTCAGCAACTTTATTATTTTTTGCGGGTGAGTGAATACGCCATCACAAACTACAAATGACGAAGTTTCTGTGGAATTGAAATAGCATTATTAACTCGCCCAATGGAGATCAAATGTTAGTCCGTATACTGCATTAAGTATCAGTTTTTGGAATGATTAATGATCGTTATGATTTGGTTTAGTTGCTGGAAGGCTGTTCCATAGGGATGATGTGAAAGTGTATAAAAAGGAATGCACATTCGATTAAGATCTATGCCTTGATCTTGTTGATTGCAAAGTTTGTCCTGAGAATACTTGTTGTATGAAAATAAATGTCGAAGATTGGAGAGATGCTCTCAAAAATTTTCGCTATTTTCTTTTGAAGTGATATTGTTGAACAAGAGCGTAACTGCCAAATTAACGCTGATTCGGATATGTTCCATTCAAGAGTTATTATCATTCGTAATTGAATTATGATCTTATGAAGTCTATGGAAACAGCTTTGAATGCTTGCGAGCATCATTCAGTTGTGATAAAAATTCAGTAACTTATGACTTATCGTCGCATATCAACTTGCGCGAAAAAAATTGAACGTGCCAATATGAACAGTTTTATATTTGTAAACCTCATTGTTCCACGAGGATTTGATCGGAAATAAATTTTCAGAATGGACTCAATTGAATAATATTCATTCAGTCAGTGATTTTTGGTTCAACTCATTAAATTGACTGCTATTCTACAGCTCTGTAAAACTTCGCAGTGGTACAGTGGTTTAAAAATAACTCAAAAATTGTTGATTGTATTGTTCTATCAATGAGTTTCATAAGACCAGTGTTGACTGATGAATATAAGAAAAAACATAGCATGTTTGAGAAAACGTTGCAGTTAGATGACGACTGAAGTGTATTCAGGACTGAAAATAAACTGAAGAAAGGTTAGTGGTTGCTTTAGAAAATCAATTCGTCATCTCATCTAAGCGACTAAACATAACTTTAGGTTGATGAACATAAATCGGAACGTGTGCATGTTTTGAGTCCACATTCACGTTATTATTCAGTTTGCATTATCATCTTTATCATCATCTTCTTTTGATCGACTCGAATCCAATTCGAGGTTCTTTAGACTGTGACTTCATCCATCATTTATCAGCGGCATTCAATAAGATTAACGCATTCAGCACTTGACTGCCACGCCTTAAAATCGCTCGATGAAGTGTTTTGCTTTCCGACGTCATTCTTCAAGTTATCAAATCAACTTCTCTTGTTAGCACCTTTCGACCATATGAAGAATGCAACTAATGTGCATTTGATTTATTATCATTCAACGCTACTGTAATCGTTTGATTACTCCCAAAATATCACCTTATTTTGGGGGATGTTCGCACCTGTGAGAGGGGATGTGAGATAAGGTTTTACTTTTTATACATTGAAGTAGTCGAGAACGAAGTTCAACGCATACATGTGTGTAAGGTAGGCGACGGTCGACTTTAACGTATATATTTTTGAGAAGGTTAGAACGTACTCCAATGGTGTACACTTAACTACATTATAAACACTTACCGTAGTGGATGAGGGATACAGGGTGGGTGTTGTGAGGGGTGCGAGGACATTTTAACTGTTGTTGCAGGGGGTGCGAGCAGATCTTGAAAGGTGGTGTGGGGAAACGTTGAGAACCACTGCCTGATTCCTTTTGATCGACTCTCTGCTCGATTTATTCATTCTAAGAATTACCTCACTTCAAATTGCTCAGGTTTTTTGTAGTCATATTTATCAGCACTTAAATAACGTTCACGAAACTGACGTATCGTCCGTGATTCAACGCAGTGCCACTCATATCTGAACTGAAATTGGATGTCGTTTTCAAACTTATACTTTCTTGAACAAAATTATGTTAGTTTCATCCCAAAAAACAAATCCCACTTAAGTCTTATAATGAAAGTATTGCAGATTTCTATGAATTGATTCCTTGATTATATTGTTGCTTTATCACCTTTATCCAACCTATTTCCATGTTTTGATATTTCTCTCCAGTTCCCGTTTAATACTTAGATCGACTTCATTTTAGAATTTGCGATCCTTTGCATTTCTTATGCACGTCTGCCCGGATAACTTAGCCTTGTTGTATTACTACTGTTACAATATTCTCCAGTATTGATGACGTTGACACGGAACTTTTATTCATCAGTTTTTGAAATTATTTTCAAATTATCGACGATGAAAGGTTGATCGATATCAACAATTCTTCATGGCATCTGAATGAAAATTCTTTCTCGCATTCATAATCGTATGCACATAATGATTATTGACCACGTTGAAATTTAAATGCATTTAAATTGGTATTTAACGAATTCAGTGATAATATTTATTTGTACCGCAAATATTAACACATGAATAGAATTGCATAACCAACAATATCACTGTGTGTTCCCACGAGTTAGTAGATATGTCTCTCAATAATTGCTTCTCATATCATGAAATATTTGGCTGAAAGGAAGAATTGCTTACACTGTCGATGTCCTGAGGAATAAACAAGCAGTTGAGCACTTAATTCATCCTAGGGCGTTTTTTGCAGTCGGAGCTTTGCAAAACGGAAACAGAGCAATTGATGGCATCGTTTCATAGCATCTGCTCTTTCTAAGGTTTGTGACCATAACAGTGAGTTTCCACACTATTGAGGAAGCCTTCTGTTCGTCCATTTCAACTATTTCTTTCTGTTCCGTTCCAAATTCTCATTCTTAAAGCTGTTTTGTTCCGTTGCCACACCTCTATTCTGCTCTGTGCTAACTTCTGTTCTCGCATCCCTCTCTCGAAAATGCTCTGCTGTGTCGTTAAAAGTGTTCTGTTCTATTCCGGCTGTTTTGTTATTTGATAGAACAACGGAATACGACGATATAGGGGCAATAATCGAGTGAATTACAATCATTTCAATAAAGAACCATGATTGAGAGCAATTATGAACGTGAACTGCAAACCTGCATTGAAGTATGAGTGTGGTACTTCGGTTATTGCGTGAGATATATGTTCATAGTTGTTTGTTGCCTACAAATATCACTGTTTTCCATAATTTTATCCTAATCTCAAACAAACTGTGTCACACTGAGAAATTGACATGCGATTCGCTTGTGTTTTGTTTGATTCAACGGATGTATTGTCACTTCAGTCATAAAGCTACTATTTGAATTCGATGAATTATTATATCACACAACAAACTTTCGCATTTGCATCTATTTCCTCGTTTGTTTCCTGTCAAACTGAGATTAGCTTAATTGTCATCTTCGTTTTGTTTAATGTAGTGTAAGCATCGACATCGTTTAAAGTGGCTTTTCTTTCAATTGACTTGATTTATTAATGTGTGAATAAGGGATACTGACTCTCTTACAGTTGTTCGCATTGATTCAGATCGTTTTCATGGACAATACTCCGTTCGAGGATTTGCTTATTTCAGTTGTGAGGGGAAGCGTGCATTAGGAATGTGGAACGAGGAGCACAATGATGACTGAACGAACTTGTTGGTTGAGTTTAGCTCATCATCGTTTCGATATTATTGCATTAATTTGCTTGATTAGCACTAAAATGAGCAGTGTGTTTCTTTAGAAGTTAGTTAGTTTTATGACGTGCTTGAAGGTTTGAAACGAATAATGATCATGCTTCGAAATGATATTTTTGCTGTCATTCAACTTCACTCAATCCAACCAACAAGAACTCATGCTACTTATTCTACTGAATTGTTTTCTTCCTATGCCTGTTCACACGTTTCGTATTCCTTAAATTTTATAGTTAATTTTCCCACGTCTCCTTATGCGGTTTTGTTTCCCAAACTGAGAACATACTGTTTCAACACAGCGAAACCTAAGGTTGCAATTTTTTTCTTGCATTTAGTTGTACGCAATTCTTTGCTTAGATATTATAAGTTCGTTTCATTAATGCATCTAGCAGTTGCACAAACTGAAATGAAAGCAATAAAGTTGAGCAATAAGAAAACGACTTTCATCACTTTCTTCTGGCTCACATCACTTCACATCAAGCAATTTAAACTTGGTTTCCGTCAATCGAGTCCATCTTACGATTTTTAAAGTTTACATTAAAAAATGCCACCATCATTCCTGTTGCGATGCCACACTATGCTTTTTTTAGTTTTTCAGTTGGGTTATTACATCGCTTTGAATCAAAAATACCGAGGAATAATTTTGTTGGCCGAAGAGCATGTATTTATCTGAACTGTCTATTCGACAGTGTCTATTCAGTTCTATGAACACCAGCAGAACATTTTCAAAATTGTTCTGTTTAGATCTCTACGGGAGTAAGCAAGGGCATACTGCATTTTTGACATAATATTGTTGCATCATTATAACATCAAACTTATCAAATTTCACTGCGCGTAATTAGTCATTTTCGCGTCAGTTCACACTCTTTTCAACAGCATTCTCAAATGGCTATCCATTCAGCTGAGCATATTTCAAAAAGCATTTGCATTGCAGTGCTTGTTTTTGAGTATGTGTTCATGCCTAATCGCTAGAATATTCTGTTATCATATGAACATATATGTATTACTGGTATCCGATATGTGTCGTTATCTTTTCATGCCTTCAAGAGGTTTAATTATCGTATGAGATGGTTTGGTTGGGTTGGGTTCAGTGTTTTTGAATGAATGATGACGAGCAATGAAAGCAAATGAATGAGATGTTGAGCATAACAGTAATGAGCTTGAAAAGTTGTGCTAATTATTGTGATGAAAGAATAACGCAACTTTCAGAAAAGACTCAACAGTTCACGATATGTACTCGCTATTGGCTATGGCCACTCATATCTTCGCGAATATCGAAGCATTAGAGCAGGTTTCTATTCATTAAACTTATTGTTATCGCTTACTTCTGATTAAGATAACTGCATGAGTATGGATCGTTTTCGGAAGTATTCTGATCCTACCGAGGAATAATTTTGTTGGCAGTGAACAGAATATTTTTTAGGGGATCAGGCGTGTGAACTGTTTTGCTTCGATTACTTCTTGATTATTGTTGTTCCGATTATGTGATCAACTGACGCTTATTTGTCATCTCCAAGAGCAAAGCCTTACTCAAGATTGATGCTAGATCAGTAGTTTTATGAATGAAACGAAATTATTGCAGCAAGTTTCTGAAGATCACACATATCTGTCGCAGTCAAACCACGTCCGACAACTCAGAATCCCTGGTGATGTGATCATCGGTGGCGTATTTCCTGTTCATGCCAAAGCCAATTCCCCAGATCAACCGTGTGGTGTGATTACAGAAACGAGGCATCACTACTTCTATCATACATCATACAAACATATTTTTCCCTTTGAGAGAGCCGGAATTTCATTTAAAAAGTTTTTTTGGCATACCCAGGGATATCAGACTTTGTCATGGAATTTTTTTTGTGATCATTCCTTCTTTCCCTTATGCTCCTTCGTCTTCATCACTGGTATAGATGCAATTGAATATCTCCCATCTGACCTGAAATCATCTTCACCAGCATTCTGGTTACTGACAATGATGGATAGATGTGAAATGCTCAATCAAAAACTGAATCAGTTGCTGAAGTTGAATCCTTCGAAAAATAATGAGCTGTAGATGAGGCGACGCTGCTGTGAAACTGAGTGATGTAAAAACGTTTATTCATTTGGTCACTAATGATCAATTTCCACTGAAATTTGAGTCAGTATCGAAAGCGATCCTGGTGTAGGATTGGCGGGTACTTATTTTCTCGGCATATTAATTTTTCAGTAAATGCTGCAAATCCATCTGAAAAAAAAAAACGAATGCACACAATCGTTAAGAACTTTCCGAAAATATTAAGATTTCACAACTCAAGATTTCAATTGGAAGGCTGAAGGTCATTCGTAAAAACTTATAGTTAGTGTCGTGTCGAAAATAGCTATAGTCTCTTTCAGAGGTGTTCACAGAGTTGAAGCAATGCTCTATGCCTTGGATATGATTAACTCTCAGCGTGATTTTCTTCGTGGATACAAACTTGTTAGTTGTTTCTTAGTTGTCAAGTTTCAAGATGAAAACGTGATATCTGCTGATTGTTCATAGCAATTGACTCTTTGATTTGAAGCAATGTTAAGCCAATTCGGAAAATTGCAATCCGAAATCCCTGTGAAATTTTTGATTGTTTCGGAATTTTTCGTATTCTTCGAAAGTTGTCGAAACTCGCATTGGAACCATCTCGACTAATATTATACGCAAAAGAACCCGAAGCTTGAGCATAGGTGTGATCATAGGGTTAAGGCTAAACATTGGCCTGATTCTAGGTGCTAGACGAAAGCTAGACCTAAACCTAGGCTTAAGCCAGTTCGAACTTTCGAGTTGTCTGTTAGTTTCAAAATCGTCCTTATTCCATTTCGTTGCCACATGTAGATATTTTGGAGTAGATATTTAAGGCCAACAAGCGAAATATACTTCAAACGATAATAGTTTTGGAAAAGATACAGCAACGAATTTTATTTTAGCGAATACGTATTGGATGACTTTCTAAGATTGGAATGCACTTTCATTTTAGGGCGCATTGATACTGGATTCATGCTCAAATCCAGCCTATGCTCTCAATCAAAGTCTTGATTTTGTACGTGATCTCATTGGATCAAATGATGCTTCCGAATATCGTTGTCGTGATGGGAGTTCTCCGGAAAGTAAACATCTGACCAAAAAAAATGTTGCAGCTGTTGTTGGTGGTAGTTATAGCTCAGTAACGGTACAGGTGGATGATAGTTTCATTATTCTACTGAGAATTTAATTGATACAAAACGGGTGTTTTCGTGGGAGAGGGCTTCATGTTGAGGAGAAAATATCAAGACTTTCGATTATCCACTTTTAATTCTAATTTAATGCCATGAATTGTATTTATAAGTAACCTGTGAAAATCATTCAGAATGGTTTCATTCACGATGAAACAACATTCTGAAATGAGAATGTTAATATATTAAATATATGATTGATATTTTATGTGTATGAAGTAATTATAAAGCTGAAATAACATTTTTTTTTGTATCTCTTATTGTATATGACCTCAATATATTTCACTTTGCAGGCCCTTTCATTTTTTCCGTTTTCGTGGTGTACATAACTAATTTCACCAGCATGGTTCTTCCTGTTTTCAGATTGCAAACTTATTGAGACTATTCAAAATCGTACAAGTGAGTCCTGCTAGCACAAACGCGGATCTTAGCGATAAAAGTCGATTCGAATATTTCGCTAGGTTCATTCGCTATGTTTTTTGCTCTGCTGATGCTGCCTGTTTGCTGACTCCAGACAGATGTGTAAATGTACCTACCTCTTCGTGTTCACAATTTATTGTGATTCCTTCTGAAGATGTTGCCTCTTCACAAAATTATATATTTACCGATTGCACGTTAACAGTTCATTTTTGTTTTACTCAACAAGGTGATGGAAAAACGATTTAGGACAGTACCAAGCGATAACTATCAGGCTCGTGCAATGATCGATATTTCATTGCATTTCAACTGGACGTATGTTTCGTTGGTTTATTCAGCAGATGAATATGGTGAATTAGGTGCTGAAGCGTTCAAGAAAGAAGCACGTAAAGTGAATATTTGTATCGCTATTGAGGAACGAATACTCAACAAGAAGAAAGCTCTGGCTGAATCCATCGATAATCTCGTTAAAAAGTTTATTGTTTATCTTTCTTCTTAACCACCAATATGAAAGTTTAGCAGCTTCGCAATTCGTTACGCTTTTCAAAGCATTACGAGCATGCCATTCAAAGCAGTTGTGAAAATTTTTACTTTCAAAATACGTTTTACTAGCAATATTCATCACTCCAGTGAATCATTCGAATGAATCTAAATTTTGTCATTCAATCCGAAAAAATAGAGATTATTAACGAAGTGATGATCGATGAGAGCATCACTCATCATAATATAACACTTACAACAATACAAAATGGTAATACTGATGCTAATATTTAAAAAAGGAACAATGCAACTGGACACGATTCGGTTCGCAGCAAAACGTTCTCTTGCGAGCTGTAATCAAACGGCGACGTATAAAATTGTTCAGTTCTGATAATGGTAGTTGTTGCAGACTTCAACCTGATAAAGTGGTTGGAGCGCGAGTGGTCGTGTTGTTTGTTGGCACCGAATATGTGCCAGAATTAATGTTACAAACTGCTGAACAAATGCAATTGAACAGCAATCGCCAACAAAAGAAAATAATATGGTAGCAGAAATGCATTTTTTCATTCTGAAATTTTTTTTAGAATAATTCGACTTTTTTTTTNTTTTTTTTTCAAAGGAGGTCGGACGATTACTAGAAGCGTCCCTCACTTATAAAGCGCATGACGATAACAGGTGAATCAAAATAGTACGGTTGTATTGTTGACAAAATAATATTTGCACAATTAGAAATATTACAATAATGTGCAACGTTTCGGCGTTATGCCATCTTTAGGAACATCTTTTTGTATCACTGAAGGCCATGATGAACTTTCGGTGAATGGGCCAAGGATCAGGGATTATGACATTAAGGAATCACACATAAACTAATAATAATTGAAGAGATAAACAGTAAGGTGATAGCAATAATGACTGTGATATTGACAATGAAGATGGGTTATGGTATTGTTCATGAGAATAGTGATAATGACGAACGTACTGAGGAAAACAGAGTGAGATGATATAGTAATATTGATGAATTTGAGGGCTTACACTGGTGGTTCTCATGGAGGTGAAATTACCCGTTTTGGGTAATTTGGAGGTGGCAAAGTGTAATGCGGGGGGGGGGGGGNTTGATCATTTCATTTGACTGTCGAATGTTGTCCAGCAATAATATTCGATTGCTGTATCGTTGATTTCGGCTGTCAACACTCGTCAACGTATCCAATAAACAGTATATGCTACAGAATGAGAAATTGATTCTAACTGTGGAATGAAATGAGACGAAGTGAATGAGAAAAACACATCAAGAGAACGATATTCGCATGTATTAGCTATGAGAGTGAATACAACACGCCCGAAAAGAATGAGAATCCATCTGAATCACTTTGAAGTGAGCGTGTCATGGACAATAGCTTTTCATGCAATCATAGTCGATTACAATACTTAAGAGTTTCTCCGACATAAAATTCACTTCATTCATATTTTGTGAACAATTGATTTCTCTCCAATTATTATCTATTTATTTGTAATTCACCAACTTACCTTCCATAATTCCTGATCCTTGGACCATCCATCGAAAGTTCATCATGGCCTTCAGTGATTCAAAAAAGAAATGTTGCACGTTATCGTAATATTTCTCACTGAGCAGGTAAAGGAGGTTGGTTCCAACTCCCTAAGTTAGCAGCTTAACTGATCGCTCAATTGAAAATATCGTGAATACTCGAATGTGACTGTCGAATTTAATGGATTGTTCAATAGCGAATTAAATTCCGGCAAAACATCCAAAGATCTTCACACGCAATTGAATTTATGTGTCGCAATCGATGTATTGCAAGAGATCAAAATATACGCGCTATGATCGAGTTGAAACATTTGTATAAGAACTCTGGAAATGGGGAGGAATAAGAAAATGAAAGGAGAATTTCATAATGAAAAAGCATTATCTGCAGTTGTGTCGTTTAAACTCGTTATTTAAATTGCATTTTTTTCTTCTCGTGCTCATCACGCCTTCATTGCATTCGGAATTGTTGGTGAGAAAAAAAGCGCTGATTGAGAGATTCAATCGGCATTTCAGGTTGGCCAGTGAGGGTTGGGATCGCAATAATGATGCGTACACGATTGGGGCCCGGAAAGCGGCCGCAGAAGGTGCTATTGTACTCATGCTTGAATCAAAACGTGTGCCGCTGTTTGAAGAGGTGGTTTCTGACGTGTTGTTTGTGTTCGCATTCTTCGTCATTAACCATACCACTCGAATAATTATCTTTATGCAAACAATTTTCATTTCGATCATAGTGATAATGCAGTCGAGAACCAACTAGATTATAGTATTTTCTATCGCTAAATCCTGGCAGCGATAAATTCGAGCGCAATAAATGGTTATATGAATTGTGGGAACATAAGTTCAATTGTAAATTCGGATTGCCTGATGGAAGTAAGCAAAATCGGTGAGTTATGCTTGATTTGTCTAACGCATCTAAAATTAAAACACTCACAATCAGTTTAATAAGTTTCCTATAAATAAGTGAACGCAATTGTTCAGAATTGACCGAAATGATCAATTGAAAAGCATTTGGTATTGCTCAGGCCAAGTTTTAAGAATTTTTGTGAATTTTTGGAATCATTTATCCGAAAAGCTTAGGATGATTTAATGACAATGCTTCGCAAACGAAGTAATGAATGCTGAAAGAAGAGTGGTATCTTCAAAAGTATTTTTGAGGTGCGAAAATCAACGGCAAACGCGTGAGGATTTCAATCCAGACGATAAGGTGCAATTTGTAATTGATGCAGTTTTTGCGATCGCCCATGGTTTACAAGTAATTTATTCGCGACCAATATTACTTCAAGCGTCTAGCACTCAGTTTTGTGACATTTCTTCGGTTGGAATCTCTAATTTTTCGAATTTGAATTAAAACTCGCTCATTTTAAGGCGATGAAGCAGTCCGTTTGTCCAAATGATACAGCAGAAATGTCATGGATATCACGCCACTCGAAGATGCCTCATATTTGTTCAGCAATGAGTTTGATCGATGGCGAGGAGTTTTATCAGAAATATCTACTGCATGTCAAGTTTGATGGTAATAGTCGGGAAATTTGCGTAGAAAAATTATATGATCGAATTTTGTTGCGAATTAATGACAGTCAATAAGGATACAACAAATCGAATATATAAGCGTTACGCTTTCGTGACCACTTACCGTTGCACTGCACACAAGAATGAGTTCAATTAAGATCTTTTATGCAAAAGTTTTCAGATTTGGTCGGAAAAAAGTTCAGATTTAGTCCAGAAGGCGACGGCCCGGCACATTACACAATTCTGAATTACCAACCTTCATTTCGTGACAAACGGTGATTTTTTGAGAAGATTTTTGATTGTTTAAATCTGTGGTATTATTATTTTCGTGTAACAGCTTTCAGCGTTTATGCGTTATTCCCTTGTTGACTTAAGAATAGTAATGTCGCATTTTGAGATCGTCATTTCGATAATGAAAAAATCTTTTAGTTCCGCAACCGATGGACGTCGCAGTGAATATGTCGAAGTAGGTCGATGGTCGGAAGATCAGGTGGGATTTCGGTGATTGCAGAAGGTGATCAAATTTCTGTCCTGCTTTCGCAAATCGCCTTCTGATGAATCTCATTCCACTCCTAACCTTCAGTTTTTATCTATTCAAATGAATTCTAATTTGTGTGGCTGTTTTCAATTGAAAGTGAAAGGTGCATTCGAATAATCTATCCATAACTCATTAGTTATGTCAGTCAGAGTTATTTCGTAGAAACCTATTGCGTGAAAAGATACAAACGATCAACTGCAGCTTAGTTTCAGAGCAGTGAATCATTTCCATTTGAGGCATGCATATTTCAGCAATACCGACTACAATCATTTTGCATCATTTCCTTTCATTGCTTAGTTCTTTTCGACTTGAATTGTTGGTGTTTGAAAATTACAGTAAGCATTATTTTGACATCGCATTTCGACTGCATCACATTCCACTAAATGACCAACTACTGTTGTTGACTTCACTTTCTGAAAAAAACCAAATGCCTAATCAGTTAAAAAAAGGCTGAGGAATCTTTTCAGCTGGAATTAAATGACGAGAAAATGTGGTGGAATGACGGTGGTGTACCAATATCACAATGTAGCATGCCTTGTCCTCTCGGTTACCGCAAACAACTTATCAAAGTAGTATGTTGAAAATTTTTGATTAAGACAGTCAATTATTTGTGATTATTCATGGATGCAATGAATATGCATTCGATCAATATTCTATAAATTTCAGAAAGACTACTTTAAAATCGAACAGTTGTGAGAATGCTTGAAAGTGAAGCAGAAATGGATGTAGTTATTGGTATGTATCTCAGTTTGGTTGTGCATCGTTTTAGGATGAGATTTGTTGCTGGGCTTGTGGTAAATGTGAGGATTACGAATACCTGATCAATGAAACCACCTGTATGGACTGTGGTCAAGGGCGATGGCCTACTTCAGACCGAACTGATTGCTTCGATCTTGCACATAAACATCTCAGACACATGCGATGGTCATCTTGGTAAGTTAAAGGATTTCATGTAGAATCTCAACAGTACTTTCTATGCTTACGATTAGGAATAAGTGTTACTGTCATTTCTTATCAGAATTATTCTTACTGAATATGCATTTCACTGAATGGTTAGATTATTCCTGTTCTTATAAATATTTGTTAATCCTTATAGAAGGTATCTCAAAATTTCATTGGCTTATGTAACTTACGATTAGAATGCCGCAAAATAAATTTGCATCGGCCTGAACAGATTGCAAACTATCAAGAAGTGTGATTCTTCGAATCAGCAAAATCTCAATTGGGATTCAAATAATTAATACTTCTGCAGGTATTCAATCGTGCCAGCAATATTCGCTGTAATAGGCATATGCTCAACAATCACAGTTATTATTGTTTATATAAGATGAGTTTGAAGTTATTCTTGAAAATGAAATTCGAAAAATTCTCCACAGTAGCTTTCTATCATTTATGTACAAACAGTTAAGTTGTAAATGTAGTGAAGTGCAGATTTAAAATCTCTTCCTTTACAAAAACTTACTGGTGTTTATCTATTTCAAGTATAGTGAAACGCCAATTGTAAAAGCATCAGGTAGAGAAGTCAGCTATATTTTGCTCGCGTCAATGCTAATGTGCTATGCGATGACGTTCATCCTTATTTCAAGACCAACTCCGATTGTTTGTGCCATTAAACGAACAGGTTAGAAAAATGCTATATCAAGACAACCTCAATGAGTAATTTGTTGCTCGTTGCTTCGCTGCTTCAAATTTCGGCTGTTGGATTGCTATTGTTCGAAACTGTGATCTTTTATGAATGAGCATTGAGTTAGAAATGTTGCATTGTCTAAACAAGTTTTTGCAAACGACTGCACTGCTCAGTTGCACTGAAAATGCTTAAGGTATCGGTTTTGCGTTTTCGTGTCTTTACGCAGCAATGCTCGTCAAAACGAATCGTATCGCGAGAATATTCTCACAAGCAACACGTTCCGCACAAAGACCCAGCTGCATTTCACCAGTTTCGCAAATTCTACTCACCGCACTCCTCGCTGGCATTCAACTGTTCAGTTCGCTTATCTGGCTCGTTGTGGTGCCACCAGGTTTGTCTTCTACTTTAATCGGTATCATTATGCATAAAATGAAGTATTCACATTTGATAGGATATGATATGAATTAAGGTACAAGACACGATTATCCAAGTCGAGATCAAGTTGTATTAACGTGTAACGTTCCCGATCATCACTTCCTCTATTCACTTGCCTATAATGCAGCATTGATTGTATTGTGTACTGTCTATGCAGTCAAAACGCGTAAGGTGCCTGAGAATTTCAATGAGACTAAATTCATTGGCTTCAGTATGTATACAACATGCGTCGTTTGGCTGTCTTGGATATTTTTCTTTTTTGGAACAGGAAGTGATTTTCAGGTTAATTTCAATTAAATGCTTAATTCTGCTATAAGTGCATACACTGCACAGTAAGTATTATAAATGTAAAATAGACTAAATTTCAGATCCAAACTACGTCATTGTGTATATCGATATCGATGTCAGCGAACGTAGCACTTGTTTGTATTTTTTCACCGAAACTATGGATAATTTTCTTTGAGAAGCATAAAAACGTCAGGAAACAAGATGGAGAATACATGTTATCGCGAAGGTTGAACTGCGAATTGTCCTCTTCGAATTTTGTTGATTAAAAAACGTTTACAATTTGAGAGAAATGAAGTAAGCGACAGTTTCATCAGTTAGATGTAGACGGTTTGACTTGATCAGGTTATAGCACTTTATTCCTTATTCTTGATGATTACTTAAACCATTTTGAAATTTCGCTTATTTAGATCGGCCATCAGTGCGCATGATGAAAATACAGCAACACAATACACAGCGTTATTATCAGACCAACGACGACGCGGCTCAACGCGTAGTTCTCATCAGAGCATTTCATCATCAGCACAAGACATCTTCTTGTGATCATTTTCAATACCTCAATTATCATCATTACTTTTATTATTAGTGTCAGTAATGTTCTAATCTTACAGCTTCATGAAATACTCATCTCAATAGATAATCGTTGATCTCTCATCTGATTGTTCAAATTCAAGATACAGCCAATGAATAAATGATGAATATCCTCGTAACCCGTTTTGTCATCATCGATGATCGTTTGCTCATTTTTTGACGTTGATTCGAAATGTTATTCGCTAATAACGAACTTTCCATATGATATTACAATTGCACGGTTCGTATCGTCAACCATCATGAATCTCTCTCCTCGATAATCAGTTGAGTTGAATGAATGGAACTAACGAATGCAAATAAAATCCATTGACCGGCATTAACGATTAATTGCCAATGCAAAACTATACTATCATAAAATCTCTAATAAATATAACATTATTTCGATTTCGATATAGCGAACAAATTTGAAAAGTGGAAATGACCAAAAGTGCGAAAATGACTTGTGAAATGAAAATCAAGTCAAAAGTGAAACTGTGAAATAATGAAAATTAAAAATGAGTTGATCATTCGCTCATTTGGTAGTACTAGTGATGAAAGTGGAACTACTCGTAGATCATTGATGATTCTATCAAAAATTTCTGACAAATCACAAAAAAAAAACGAAGATAAAGTTAACAGATCATCCAACATTCAATCGTATCAGATCATAAACGGGAGCATAATTCAATTGTTAAATGCAATTCACGTTCAGTATACCAAACAAATCACCCACAAATATAGTTGGTGTATTGCTAGTCATAGTCTTGTAAAATATGGATACTTCTAATCGGTATTAAAAGTAGAACGCTCTTATTCGTCGTTATACCACTGTTGTTCTGCAGGCTGATTCTAATTGGTTTATGGTATTCTCAATCGTTTCAAATCTATTGTTATTTTGCGAAGCACTCTCAGAACTTGCAGTTGAATGATGTTCGAGGCGATAATTAGGTGACCGTACAATTATGAATATTTCTTCGGTTATGGCTAATCTTAATAATGCGCTGTCTTTAATGTTATCAGGACATTTGCGTTCATTAGTGGATGAATTTGGTCTTATGTGCATGCCCAAAATTCTCGTTAGAATTATATTGCCCAAAATTCTCGTTAGAATTATATTCTACTGATGAACTGAACACAGCGGCTTATAAAGTATTGAATAAGAATTATAGAATTGATTTAGGGGCATAATATTTCTCAGGAATAACATTAAACGGAAATCGACGATAACGTTCAAAAAGAATTGCGCCAATGAGAGGTGATTTTAAGAGTGCATTCCTTTTACTACTGTGCACTTCGAGAGTAATGACTGCGTTATGTGCACGCAAATTCGAAAAATGTGGTGAATCGGAATTCACACGATCGTTACGGAATCTGAATGAATACTTTAATGTATGTTTTTTGCTAATTGTAAGTAATTGTTATGCTAAGCTCCACGGTATTCATGATTAGCACGCTTATGTAAAATCATAACTAAAAATAGTGATCTTCGGATGTAAAAAAATCAAATAAATATACGGAATCATAATGACTTTCCTAAGCTATACAAACAATCCTGATGGTTTTTCAAATTGGGTGAAATTTCGAATGATTCTAAAAGCTAATTAATTGCAGTTAGAGGGAAATCGTTTAGTTGGTGGTAATATAAGTGTACCACATGCGTGGCCGTGGACTGTGCAAATACTTTGGCGTAGTGGGGGACACCGATGTGGGGGTGCTCTGATCTCAACAAAGTATATTGTGACCGCAGCACATTGTTTCTCGAAGAGGTACTTGTTGCCGTTGAAGCTTTGCACTAGTTTTGATTAGGATAAGCGATAAGTCTGAGAATGAATTCTTTACAGTCACTAGGAATATCTTTTCGACAATTGTTAATCCATTGAATCGACTGACTGAAGTTCGTTTCGCCGTGAAAAAAAAAACTAAATGGTTGCAAAATTCGATTTAATGGTTGCGATTGACATTGAAGTGAATTGTATTGATTGGATCAAGCTAATAAGTATGCTGATTCGTTGATTATTTCCAAGCTGGAACGTGAACATGAGTTATTCAGAAACAATCAGGCATATATGTCCGTTAGAATGAATCATCTGATTTACAGTCGTAATCCGAGTTTATATAAAGTACGCCTTGGAGGACACAAATCTGGCACAGGAAAGCTGCATAATGTCAGCAACATCACCATACATCCACTTTTCAATATTGTCGCACCAAGTGCTTATGACATAGCTATCGTGAGGTAATGCATTTTTGCTTCAAACTAAACAATGCGTCAACTCAGTGCTAACCTAGCAAAGTGGGGTGCAATTCAGTGATGGGCGATGCAAACAGCACCGTGCATAATAACTCAGTTCCTATTCCTGTTTCGAAGTTCATCCGCAATGTGCATATCTTAAAAGTTGCACCACAAGAAGCAATCGAGCAGTATGTAGGTGCACATCGCAGTCAATGAACATTTTTCGGTATTATTGCTCATTATATGTCTGTTGTATTGTTTGAAAAGAAACACTTTGCTTATAGGATAAAGCCAAACGCAGTTCTAAGCAAAACAGTACGTACTATATGCCTACCAATTTTACCAGTGGCCGAGAATACGATTTGCGTTGTGACAGGTTTGTTCTATTGAAGTGCACCATCCAAATGACTTCTGCACTGATAAGATCAATCGTGAATTATGATATTATTTGAAAAAGATGCGATCTCTTGGTTCAGTTTCTGAATCGAACTGTTCATAATATTCAGTGAATAAGAAAGATACATTAATCCCTCTATTCCAGGTTGGGGTCATCAGAGGGAGGGTGGCTCACATTCAACTTACCTGAGAGAGATTCATGTGCCCATATTATCCCCGTTCACTTGTAATGATCTCCAGCACTATGCAGGACGATTGCACATCTTTTCAATGTTTTGTGCAGGCTACAACAAAGGAGGCATCGATGCATGTCAGGTGATCTTGATCGCTCACTTTATCGATCATTAAAACGAGAATTATTTGTCTGTTGTTTCCTTTTTTGTAGCATTATACTGTTGTGCCATCAAATTACTCAGCAATTGTTTTTTAAAATTTCATGAATGTTATGTTCGTATCGGATGTATCAAGTAACAATAATGAAGCGAACTTCATCAGTCTAAGTTAATTAAACGCAAAATAATATTTCAGAAAATATTTTCATCAAACAACATATATGCTCATTGGAATGTTGTTTGGCTATCAAGCGTTACTCGTTGATTGCAGATCAGTGAACAAGTTTTCATGCAGTGCTCGAAGTATTGCTATTTTCAGGGAGATTCAGGTGGTCCATTGATGTGCCATGTAAATGGTCGTTGGGAATTGCACGGATTGGTGAGTTGGGGAAACGGATGTGCTCGACCGAACAGTCCTGGAGTGTATATGCGAGTTACAGCTGCTGTACCATGGATCAATCTTCACATGCTATTGTTCAAATGAAAATCGGTGTATTTGTTCGATGCTTTCATGAAATATGTATCTAAGTGATTCTGCTTCACAGTTCGTTAACGAAGATCACCAGTCGAAATACGTTTCATCGTTGTTATCGGTCTGTAAAAGTGTAGTTTTTTTTGCTAATCTTTTGAAAATTTATGTGTCTGACTGAATCAGAGCGATTTTCTGAATTGGGTTCTTTTGGTTTAAGCAAAATGTTTGTTTCTGTTTGTTTTATTTCTATGCGTTTGAGAAGAAGAAGAATTGTATGTTTGTAAATTGTAACTTAAACAATCAGTATCGCAATAAATGTTGGTTCGATTGTAGCGTGTCAACTCTACCGAAAGACTGATCATTCAGAGAATGTATCAGAACACTGAAGTATTGTGTGCAATTGTGTTATTCTCCGCAGCAACCGACTTCTTCAGGTTTCATTGTAACAAAAGCTCAAAACAGTTCACCTGCAATTGGTTTGATATACATGAAGTGCTAATCTCTGAGAAATTACTACTCGGTGAAATTTTTTGCCACATCTAGGTGATAATATGAGACGTTTGCAATTATTTATGGTAGCGATCGGTTTTAATGTTTCCGTTTTGCATTTTAATAGTCAATTTTACGTGTGTCATTTTTGTGTCAGTTACGTGATTTGAAAAAAAAAGCGTTTGTAATTATATTTCTACATCAAGAATAAAGGTGTTCACGTATGCTTATCTGACAAATGCCAAAAGCTGTAATGTTTATACATGTTATAAATTGTATCAGGAATCGCAAGATTGTTTGCGGTAGTCCCTCATCGAACGGTGCCTCTACTGGTGACCACCGAAAATTGCTAGCCAGCATACACTGTCATCTTTAAACTCAACTGAAAAGTGCATAGAATTATGTTTTAACGGCCGACATCGTATCAGTTCTGTTAAAGCATCCACAGAACATATTGCAGTTAGTGTTTGCACGATATGCCAGGATCCCGGAAACTCGACTACCGAAAAATATTCCCGGGATTCATGTCTCAAAAATCCTTGGAGTTCGAGATTTGATGAAACAAATCACTTTGTATGAATTTTTTGCATTCCCATCCTGAATCAAGCATTAATCATTCTCGGCTCATTCATATGCAGTCGCATCTGGTGTTTACCACCCACATGGTAATGAACAGATGATTCATTGCATATTGCCAGTTCGGCTTTCGTTTTTCACGAAACAATGACCAAGAATTTCATAAAGTCAATTATTTCAAGTTCATCTTTCACTGTTTTTGCGTTTGAAGTGCTAAAACAATTCCACATTTTTTCTTAAACTATAAAATGTCTTCGAATTGTGCAACATCATAATTGTCGAGTTGATATGCCCCTGTCAAACAATGTCCGTTATCAATTAATCAATCAATCAACCAATCAATTATAGCACCGCCCTTTCCGATATCTGATCGATGCACATGTTGTGAAGTGAAGTGATAGTCATTGTGTGAGTGCTGAATTGTTTTGCGGAGATGAACACCTTCGGCGCGTTCTTCTTAATTATTATCGCAAGCAGCGTTTGTTCAGCGTCTCGTTTTCTCCATCGACGGTAAATGAAGAAACTTCTTTCTGAATTTTTTCCGTTTATTTTCACTCTTGAAGTAATCCCTGTTCAAATTATCGCTCTTGATATTTGTTGATGGAAGATTTTTTAAAATGCAATACCCTTCAATTGTTCAAATTTCATAACAACTCATCCAATCAAACATTTCAGAGAAATATTTTTGATTTAGCACATCATATGGATACTATCAAATACTTTTAACAATCAACTTTTCATCGAATGCATTAACGATTGTTTCGTACTGAAGTTTCTCGTAGAATCGCGGTGCATGTTTAGCAAAACGGCTTAGCATTTGTTTTGATCTGAAAATGCGCTCAAACCGGATCTTCAATACGAAAATTAGATTGCGTGAATTGAAATTTTTTTTCTTTATGAGTTTACGGATTGATTCAAGCCTCAACTTGAGTAATATTGGAGTGTGGTTGTTAAGTTGCTTATAAACTGAAAACTTTGAACAAATTTACATAAATTGAAAATTGCTCTGCAAAATTTGTTGAACACATGCAACATTATGATGATAAATATGATGGGAATTCGATAGCTTTTAAAAGTGTTAACGAAATAAATTCAGTGCGATTCACGATGATGATAGTGACGAAAGAAATGAAGAGAGACAAGCGACTTCTGATAATGAATATTGGATGCACCGTGGTCGTTCAATGCTCAAGCATACACACCGCATGAAGAAACTGATTCTTGACGGATTTCAGCAATGGCAAAGCTATAAAAGCGAACACAGTTTGTCTTCTCTTTCGATGAATTCGTCATTTACCTTTACTGAATTAGTTGTTTAGTTTTGAATTCACTTACAATAACTCGTTCCACATCTCATTCGTACTGACAAAAAGCATTTATACATGGCGACTTGTCGTTGACTGAAGAGAAACAATTAGAGTCAATGTTGCAGATAAAGTGTACGATGACGAAGAGACTGAGAATAGATATATGCTAGCGTTTTTATCGAACCTTGAAGCGATACACAAACATAATGAACTCTTTAAACGAGGCGAAAGCACTTTCGAAATGGACGTCAATCACATCGCAGATCTGGTGAGTGACATGAGATACATCATCGTTTGTTTATCAAAGTATGCACATACATCTAAAAATTCTTATGAATTTTTTCAGTTTTTCTCGACTGATGCACTTTCGTTGTTTTTGTAATAAGTGTGCATGATTCATCGAATGCGTTCATATTTCAGTGAATCAAACTATTTGACTACTTTCATCAAACTATATTTTGAAATCAAATGTAATTCAACCGATATGAACAAAATGAAAGGCATATCGACTCTTCCACTCATTATATTCGATTCGAGTTTTGGATGCATTCATCAAAAATCATTTATTTAATGGAATTTTAATTACAAGAGTTGTAAAAGTTTGGGGATCAGTTTTTAACTTTGAGAAATATCATCGGGAAGAGATATCAGTTTGATTGATGAGAGGAAACGATTTTGACTTGTAGCCATTCGACGAATATCGAAAGCTGAATGGATTCAGACGAACGTTTGGTGACGCCAGACGTAACGCAACAGCCACTTTTATGCCACCTTACAACACGAAAGTACCTGACCACTGGGACTGGCGAGATCATGGCTACGTTACTGAAGTTAAAAATCAGGTTCAAATCATCTATTTGGATTCCACAATTGTTTGCTTTGCCTCACCATCCTGTTGTGACTCAACAGCGCTATCGATGGAAGTGTTCATTTAGAAGCGTATTAAGAAATTCAAGATGTTTGACGATCTTTAAAATATGTAATTCATTCAACTATTTCGTATCATAGGGACTAGTGCGTGAAATGAATAACGAATCAACGGAGAGGGGTATTCGACGGAGTGATAAGAGTTGATAAGCGATTGTTGTTGTTGTTTCGTGCCATACTGAGGTGATGATGATAAGAGAGACTTTTGCCGAATGTCACTTGATGGATGAACTTTATACTCGTTCTTATCAATGATCACATGACCGACTATTATTATTACTGACGGCAAATGCACATCACGTCCTTCACATGTTTCTTCCATACAACTTCTTCCTCGCCCATAGGAAATTGAGGGTTCAAGCTGAGGTTGACACCAAATTTCGTTCGTTATCCAACTGGATTTTTCCCGTTGATTTTTGACGAAAAAGTTTTCCCTCGAACTGTGAACGAGGAATGTATGAAAAAGAGTGCAACTGAGGACATGCGCATACTGCTGTTGACTGAGCGAAATGCTATTTTCAATGACGAAGTGACACATTGATCTAAATACTACAGTTCGATTGAATTTGAAAACAGTGCAAAAATATTAATCTCATTCGTCTTTACAAATCATTCAGCAGTTAAATGAATTGATTCAATTGAAGACCAGTAAAGCAGCCGCAACATTTTTCGATCACAACAGAGAAGGAAAAAATTATCGAAAATTTTAGAACCATTCACTCATGCAATTCAGTCACTTCACTTTTTTCTTTGTCTTCAAATTACGAACAAACTATTTTTGTGAAAAGTGTGAAAAAATTCAAGCTTACACGGTGACTAATTTGAAAACATGAACACTTTATCATGTTAGCAAACATATGAGAGATATTTTTTTGTGAATTTAGGGAGCTCTACATTTATGTGAACCTATTAAGAATATTGTTATCATTACTATTATACTTTCTATTAAAGGGTATGTGCGGTAGTTGTTGGGCGTTCAGTTCAACGGGTTCACTCGAGGGTCAGCATAAACGCAAATTCGACAAGTTAGTCTCGCTATCTGAACAGAATTTGGTTGACTGTTCTCGAAAATATGGTAATAACGGTTGCAATGGTGGTCTAATGGACAATGTTAGTAATGATTGTTTTATTGGACTTTATTAATGAGTTTCAAATGAAGTGCATAATTGTTGATCATCTCATAATTGTAGGCATTCACATATATCAAAGAGAACCATGGTGTCGATACAGAAGTATCATATCCATATAAGGGAAGAGATATGAAATGTCATTTCAATAGAAAAACTGTTGGTGCAGATGACAATGGCTTTTTTGATTTGCCAGAGGGCGATGAAGAGGCCTTGAAGGTTGCAGTTGCCACTCAGGGTCCGATTTCGGTGGCTATCGATGCCGGACATCAAAGTTTCCAAATGTACAAAAAAGGTTGCACGTTAACTTCATTTCAGATACTCTCTGCGTTGTCCATTTTAAAATCATTCACTGAACACTCAATGGTAACTTAATACTAGCAGTTCTTTCGTATCTCCTGAAATCATGACAGAAATGAAAACTAGTAATCAATAAGTTTAATGTTCCATTAAATGTTGAACACATCATCATTCATCATTGTTTCCTATTGATAGAGAATCAATAGGAAGGTTCAAATAAAAATACTAATGCACTCCTCTGTAAGAAAGATTATTACGATTAGACTGTTCTATTCGTAAATTTCAGGTGTTTACTACGAGCCAGAATGCAGTCCTGAAAATCTTGATCACGGTGTACTTGTTGTGGGATATGGCACCGATGATGATGGTAGCGATTATTGGATCATTAAAAACAGGTTTCATCATTATTTCATTCTTTAACGCAATACCGGTTACTTAGATTTAGCAATATTCTTATCAATTACTTATAAAAATTCAGCATTTCAATCTCACTTCTTCATTCGTCTGCACGAACAAGACTGTTTCTTCTGTGCAAGAAACGTTTTTACTATTGAATGAAACAAGTAATGGTGATCACTTGATAAACATAAGCTTTTTCACAAAATTTGCAGTTGGGGAATGATGTGGGGCGAAAAAGGTTATATACGTATGGCGAGAAATCGTGACAATCACTGCGGTATCGCAACTAAGGCCAGTTATCCAATCGTATAAGATGCACACTACATATTCCGTCGTTATCATCATCGCTATTCACAACTTTTGAAGAATTCATTATATCAATTAATTCCGCATTTTCTTGACCCGTCTTCTGTTGCCTTCACGAACTGCATTTATTAACAATAACTTGTTTTCACATTGAGCAATACCTATTTGAACTGCAATACTTAATTTGTATGAACTTTACTTATGAACCGTTTCTAAAGATTATTACTTTCGTTTGCTTTGTGCATTGTTTGGCATGAATAATTTGCTTTATGTCATACATTCGTTTACATTACTCATATATTCACTCAGTTATCCATTGTTTTTATATTATGTATTTGTTGTTTGCATATTTATTTAATATGCACGTTCATCTCAGATGTCCATTTCCACTCCCACAAATCCATTTCCTAAATTCAATCTAAATCGAGAAACATGTGGATTTTCAACTGATCATTTGCAATGAGACATTGAAATTCTCACATGACTGTTTCAGGCTGCAGTCATAGTTTGAGAATTTGAAACGAGGAAGATCTGTTTGTATCACTATTCAGTTGAAAATCATCAAGTTTTGATAACAATACGTTTAGTCCGACAATAAAACGTACTCTAATGATGAAAGCAACTTAGCATTCACACTTATACTGGTGAATTTCATTATGGAAGAGTACTGTAAACATATCGCCATCATTTATACGGATATCACACGAAACATAAACAAACAAATACATAAAGACTGCTTATTTCCGTTGGTTGATATCACTCAATGCAATGAGCATATGAGTGAGGAGACGCATCAAAAGTTACGATGGAGTCAGTGGGTTTATCATAGCACGCCTTCAAACGGACAGTTTATTTCCTTTTAGCGCAATGTTTGCGATAATTTCATCTCGACAGGGTTTCATATTTTCGTCATCGATCATTATTTCAAACAACTGAGGCAGTAACTAAGATGAAATATGCAATAAACAATCAGCAAATGATACAATATATCGAATGAAAGCAATAATGAAAATTACATTAAAATCCCAGTAATGCTTTTGTTGCTGCAATTACGTCACCGTCGTGTTCTATCAGGGTCTTCTCAGCTCGAATTCGAGGCAGTTCTAACTCTTCCACCTTAAACGATTTCAATCTACTTGACCATAATCCAATAAGGATAGCTTACTACGAACCGTTGTTAATAAGCAAAGTGAACTATTCGACGTTGGTCGTAATACGTAGTGACACAAAAATTGACTGGACTTTATCGCTGCAAAAAATAACTATTGTCTGACGCTTTTCTTCTTAAACAATTTTGTTGGCTGTTACCTCTATACCGATTTGCAAGTGTTAAAAGGAAACAAGCTGAATGAACGTACGATCAGCTGAACATCTTCTCGTCGGATGTTGACCGTTTTCCTGGTGGCTTGAGGCCCACTGATAATACTGTCCAACTTGACATTTGACACCTCTTTAGCATTGTCGTTATCTTCATGAAAATCAGTCACCTGCAATAGACACAAATGAAACAATCGATTAATCAAAGGAACTGGATATGTCTGCCATCCTTCTCGCTCCACAGAAAGTTGTTGGCTGATAGATCGTTTGATGTATGCCTTAATATCTAACTGCTGAAGGTAATCGTCGATGAAAGATTTCTGCAGCTACGATAATTGGATTACAACGAAATATAGAGTAGAAATTATGTTCACAAACAGATAAGAATTTTCAAACTTTTGGAATCGTTTTTTGTTAATACGGAAGCTATGGGAAAATCATTCGAAAACTACGTACAACTCCACTTGAACCAAATGAGCATCGATAAAATTTTCTGAGTTCACAATCTATAGTTACTTAATAAATGCACGAGAAGCCTCATCACTAAATACCGAGATCGCACGATAAGTTTCATCGAATGTACACAGCATCAACAAAGTCTGACAATAAGAGAATTAATTCCATGGTCGGTTCCAATCAAATGAACACCTTCTCAAGATCTGCTGCTCCCCAGTCGTGTTTATTTTTAGTGGTCGATTTAGGGCCGTCGTGTTCATCTTGTTCCTTATCGGCACTTTCGTGCTCTTTGTTCGCCATTTCCGAAGCTACAATCTGCGGTAGAAATCACTGCAATTAATAAGCATCGCCGTACTCGACATCGAAAATAATCGACCGGCATCAATACATGGCAATCTTATTGCTAATGTGTCTGTGAAAGGAGGCAGGATTACAAAACCACAAGCTAAGGCTAACAGCTGCTTTTCACTGGGGTAGCCACGGGAATTAGCCTGAGATTTACCCTAAGACTGAAGTTCACCTCAGGCTTTTAACGAAGCTTTAGTCGCACGACTGAGTCTCACCCTCAGTACACGTTGAAGCACCACCTCCTTCCATAAACAGTTCGACCATAAAATTACCCCGAACGAATGGAACACGTAAGTAATTTCAAAGACCCCGCACAACATTCCAACCGATACAATCAATCAAATCATCTTAAGCTCGCACAATTCGAAAAATCATCTCGAAGAATAATGTTGTTGGATCTATCAGCCAATGGGCGTGTAGCAAAGCAAGGGAAGAGCATCGTGCGTCAGCGATTTTCAGTGTGTCAAGAAGAACGAATATGGCCGCCATTAGGGTTTGCAAAATCCCGACTGTTTTCCGAGCCTCGATACCGAGATTCAAATTCCGGTGTTGAAAAACATCTTTCGCAATTTAGAACTGTAACATGTTCAACGCATTTTTGGAATCAGTGTGTTCGAAATTAATCAAAAAAAAAAAAACAGTTTATTTAACAAAACTCAATAAAAAATTTTAATACCACCGAGGTTGACGTTCAAATAACGTTGAGTTTTAATTGATGAATATTCATCCAGAGTTACGTCAAATTTCTCACGAACTAGACAAAATTTCTGGAAAATTTTCTTCTGAAACGTTCAATCTAGGAGTCCGGAAAACAATGATTGGTTCGACTCTCGTAACGGTACACCATCAAAAGTATCTGTTCGATTTTCCGGTTTTGTTTAAAAATTTGTTGATTCACATTTCCTAATGACTTTTCGGCTCATCTGATACGATAATTTCATTTCGTTCATGTGAATGCTTTATCAATTTCTGTCGAATATTCAAAATAAATTATTGATGTTCAAGTTGACATTGTGAAAAATTCATTCATATAATTTAGAAGCAAAAAACTCCAAACAGTCAGTTTTGTTGCCTGCATTTCAATTGAAATGGTTATATCTGGGAGGCGTTTGAGAAGTCTTCTTGTGTTCTTTATCAGATTATTTACCCTTTCTCTTCTCGTAATCTCAGGAATCACAGCTGAAACTTGGTGCTATTTTAGTTGATCATCTGAGATTTCTTGATAAAACGTGAAGTTTTTTTTGGACATTGTTTGATTAACGTGCTGTCTGATCGTGCGCGACTGAGCTGTTCTGTGGTTGAAGAAGGGCAGTGATGAACGATAGAAAGTGCTGATATTACGAAAATTATTGTGAGAAAAAAAACTATTGTGGAAAAGTTGATATTAATGTCATTGTTGGTTCACTGTTGTTATTATTATGACACACAAAGAAATTAGTTGCGTTTTGTATAATTAGATGTATCGTCTACATTTGCTACTGATGTGGTATTGGGCCACTTTGATGGGTGCAAATCGAGAACTTTGAAAATACAACTTTAATTTTTTAATGGTTGGGCGTCGAGGAGAGGCCATTTGGTCGTACGCATGTTAGATGCTGTTTTTCGTAAGAAGATGCAATTTTTGTTGCGGTGTGCAGAAGAGATGTATTTCAGGTGAGTGATTGGACTTCTGAGAAGTGAGCTTGCAGGAAAGAATGAGTGGTGGCACGTGGACACCATTGCATCCAGATGAGGACAAGTTCCTGAATACAGCATTAGCTCTAGTAAAAAAGGCCGGAACGGTATGACCTTTTGCAAGCACTTTTCCTCTGTTGTTTTGCATTTTGTATGCAAAGCTTCTATGAGATGTGTGCTTTTCTTTTTGCTCCAAATCTCCATTTGTGTTCATTTTGAGGTGTTCTGATTACAGAAGCATTTGCTGTTTTTGTTTTGGTTATTCGAAATTATCGCAGTGGTGATATTTTTTCCATAGAGCGTCTTAGTGTTCGATGACCGTTAGTGCTTGCTGAATTAAGGTTGTGCGGTCAGCTTTCGAACAGCCGTCTTGCGATGTGCACACAAAATCATCGAACACAGATCTGGTGACAGAAACCGATCAAGCCGTTGAAAAATTGCTTATTGATGGTCTTAAGAGTGCGTTCCCGGATCATAAGTACGCCTTCTTAATTGATCAATACTTTCATGCTATTATTTGTTTGTGGCAGCTGATCTGCATACAGCACCCAGCAGATGTACACACATTTATCCAACTGTTTTCTTTCAATAACTCAACCTAGGTTAGTGCCGTCTCCAGGGTTTCCTGAAATAGTGATCAACATCTACAGAGTAATTTATGACACTTTCTCAGTAATGTATAGTAAACTAATAGTATAGTGACAGTGTGATAGTATTATAATATATTGCTTTTACTACTAGCATTTTGTGTTGCCAGAAGCAGTGATGCATGGTGATAATATATTTTTTTAAAGATTCATTGGTGAGGAATCAGTTGCTGGAGGGCAAAAGTTCGAATATAGTGATGCGCCAACTTGGATTATCGATCCAATTGACGGAACAACGAATTTTGTTCATCGGTGAGACATTTCATGCTGTTGTTCCCCGATAGTTTGAATCGGTTTATGCAGTGAAATTTGAGAAGTAGTTTAAATTTTGTTCTGATGAAGATAATTCATTGTTTGTTGAATGCTGTATTGCTCCAACACTTTTTTTAAAGTATTCCAATGATAGCGATATGTGTGGGACTAGCTGTGAAAAAGCAACTACGCGCTGGAATAGTTTATAATCCAATTACAAGAGAATTATTCCAAGCGCAAACTGGCAAAGGAGCATTCAAAAATGGTTTTCCAATCCATGTTTCTTCCACTAAAGGTATGTCTCATTTGATGATTTGTGATGATTTTCAATCATTTGTTTATGTTGCAAGATATTCTTTTGCTACTGGTACGGTGAAATAATAGAGCGAGACCTGAGAATTAAATGTGTGATTTGAATGGATTTTGGAAAAAGGTTTATTATAAGTTATATGAGGTTGAAAACGCAAAGCTAAGATGAGAAGAAGCATTGCAGAGTCATCGATGTACTTTCAAAGTATTCACAGAGTTTTGTTCAATGGTTTGATTGTATTCAAATTCAATTGTAAAGGAATGCCTTACAGAGCGTGAACATATAATGTGATTTATAGTTTTGTTTAAATGAAAGTAAACACCTGTTGGATGCTTACATAAACGTTTGCTGTACATGATTCATCACATGTCTATTTTCTATGCGGATGTTTCGGAAAAACTAATACTCTAGGCTTTGTGAGGTATTCTGCTAAAATACATTTGCATAATAGTGCATGAAATATCATTTCATCGGGTATTTTGCGTGTGCGTTAGGTCGACAAATTTTTAGATGGAAAAAGGAAATTCTGAAAAGAGATTGCGTTCTATGAGCCCTTAGGCGCAAAACAAGTTGATTCAGTTATCTTCTAGACTAATTTTCCAAAAGAAACTTTTGCATGGTTTCTTTCTAGACCAAATGGTATACATTTTCCGAGCTGAGAGCTCAGAAATTGCGGTATTCGAAAAAATTTATCACTCGAATATGTATAATTAGAAAAATGCTGGATGCTTGCGCTACTTCGTTTTGTTCTTTGCCAAACATTTTGTACCTTGAACTCTTTCTTGTAATTGCTTTAGTAATCATTCATTCGAAACGAACGATCTATTGAGAATGATGAAGTGTTGAAAAGAAGATGTTAAGTGATACAGTGTCATGCTTTTATTTAGCTCTTAATCGAAGCTTAATTTGTCAATCGCATGGTATCCACAATTTGGTGAAATTTGGTGAACAGTGGATGAGTATAACTCTGGAGAATCATCGACGTCAGTGTCTGGCTGGTATTAGAGGGTTGGTTTTTCATTTTACTAGATGCGAAGCTTATTTTAAGTTCAATGTTCGGACTTATTTCACGCCATTTAGAGCTTTTAATTGTTGATGTAACACTTGTATCATAAGCGAGCAAACTCGGCAAATCTTTATCCTTCTTCATTTCAAGCGTTCATTTTTCCTAATCCCAAAAAATGCGAAGCCGTTCTTGATTAAGTTTTCCCTTGTGTTTGGAAAAAATTCCGTCAAGCAATATTCATATTGCAGTTTGCGCGAAAGTTGCAAAGATTAGCTTTTTCTGCAAAGTTGGATCATCGAATAAATAACGCTTCAATGTTATTTTTAAATGGCCGTTTATGTTGTGAAGTTCAAGTAATTGTAATTTTAGTTGTATTAGAATGCTGATTGATGAGCGTTTAATGTGGCACACATTTAATATGCTCTTGTATATGCGCTTCAGTGACTCTGATAATTGATTCTTCTCATTTTTGCTTTGCGTAATCGTTCTGGTGTATGGTAGACCGATTTGTGTCGATATTAGTTTCACGATAGTGGAGGGTTGGAGGATAGAGAAAGAAATGGGTTTGTAAATTCGGGATTTATGCTGGAAAGTGGTAATGAAGAGTATTCGACTTCAGCGGTAAGCAAGTCTGTGTTGATTCTGCAGTTGGGCGCCGATCGAAGTGATTCACTTGTGAATTCATTCGTCAACAATTATAAGAATACAATGGTTACGAATGATGCAAGGGGGTATGATTTAAGACAGTTTCTGAGTATGTTGGACGTATGATCCATGCGATGCATCGCTGCGTTACGAGTAGATTTGTTGGTGAAGATCAAGGATGGTTCCGTTGAATTGGACTGCTTTCAGGCATCGTTCGTTTGGTTCAGCAGCCATAAATATGGTGTATGTGGCGCAAGGTAGTGTGGATGCGTATGTGGAGTACGGCATTCACGCGTGGGATGTTGCTGCAGCATCGGTGATTGTCAACGAAGCTGGTGGTGTGGTCGTGGATCCGACTGGTTAGTGGACTGATAGTCTCGCTTTTAAAGTTTCATTTCTGGTTGCTTTCGTCGGGCCATTTTTTTGACTTAGTACAACTGACTTCCCTTATTTTAGTGACCGCTTATGATGGCTGTTTCTTGTTTTTATTGAATAATTGGAGAAACTCTTAAGCTGATTCATTAGTTCCATTCGAAGTTGGTCGCTGCCTTAATTCATTTTTTTACGCTCTGAGAGAAAAAAAGGGATCAGAATAAAAATCGTCAATGCTAGCATTAACATGGTGAATTTTCATTGGTCCTTTCCTTATTTTTAGTCGTAAAGAATAGAAATTTTTTATGAAATATTTTTAATCGCCCATGGAAAAATCTAGTAAAAATAATTGCAAATTCAGAGCTTTGAATGATAGAATGTTTTTGTTCACCTTATGTGTTTGGTGTGTTTATTCGGGATGGTTGACGTTTAAGGAACGAAGTTCGATGTACTTGGTCGACGTGTGTTGTGTGCATCGAGCAGTGAGCTCGCTAAAGAACTTTCTTCAATGCTCACACATGTCGAATACGAACGTGAAGCATAGAAAAGTACCGATGAAATACTTCTTTTGTTACTTCTTATACTTTTGTGTCTGTGCTTGAAAAATTACTTTCCCTCTCGTTATTTTACCTTCCTGGTTTCCCTCTCATCATCCTTTAGGAGTGATAATTTTCTCGGTATTTTAGAGGCATTCGATGCTGGTGATTGATTAAGTCCCATGCGTTCAGCTTGATTTGACGTGATTTTCTCTAATTTTTATGATTCTTTTTTTGATAGCTTTCTGTCTTCATCCGTTAGCAATTCTGAAATGAAATTCAGTTTGGATTGGCCACAATTTGTGTTGTTGTAATTGTTTACTCTTGCTGAGTGGTAAGATGAGAATCTGTGATTGTGTTTTATGATAATATCAAATATTGATAGGTTTAGTTGCCGAGACTTCTACTGTTGTTTGTATTATTATTGTTGTTGTTACTGTTGTTGTGATGTGATCGAATTTCATATAGACGCGGCAAATTAGTTCGCTTTAGGTATTAGTTGCATTTATATTAGCTACATTTATTATTCTTTTTCATTTCTTTTTTGAATTAACGGTTGTTTCCTTTTACATTTTCTTTGATTCTTAATGTTTTGTTTCATTCGCCCTGCTGATTCGTTTTTGTTTAATGTAATCAGCAACCTCTGAATATAGACATGTTTTTTTGTTAATATGTTTGATGATTCTTGGTTTGATGTCAGAAACTAGCCCAGAAATAAATCCTTTTAGTCAGTCAGCTTCTTAGTGACATGTTTTTGATATTATCAACAAATAATAAAAAATATCCTCTACTTTGGAGCAGCACAGCATTCGGGTAGAAATGGCGGAATTACCAATGAGGTTTCAAGACTTATCTCGTTTTTATGTTAGGTCGTTCATATTTTTATTCCAGTTTTTGACGATTGCTTTTTAGGGCTCTCGACATATTTACGTTGATAGAATAATTTGGTTTGACGGTTTTAATGCTAATCTATAAATGAATATTATAGTCTCATGAGAATATCCATAATTGTTTCGTGTTTAATGTATGTGTATTGAATTAGTTACATTTATCATCGTCGTTTTCACTATGAATTATTTCAAAAATTCATTCAAACAACGCGAGTTAATTTCAAAATAAATATCTTTTTACAAGATTGTGTTCAGTTTTTTTCGCGGATTCGTTTCCTGGTTCAATCTTCAAGTCGTTGTGAGAACGATTTATTGAATTTTTGTGTGAGTTTGCTATGAGAGTTGAATCATTTCGCCTTATTGCGACCGAGTACCCCTCACGATTTTTTTCGCTAAGCATAAACGGCAGTGATGGAGACACTTATGTAATGATCAGATTTCTAGGTTGTTGCGAAAGGATTTGTTCAGGATAACATCAATGAGTGAGGCATCGCAACCTGGTAGCCACTCTCCACCTAGCGTTTGTTTCTTTTTCATTTTCTTAACCGTTCGGTTCAGTCACTTTTTACGTGAATGCACGCTTATCTCTGATCGTGAGTGTAGTGAAAATATGATTTTGTTCATTGCTATCAGCATTACAATAAATTCTTCATCTAAGGGATATTGTTTTGTTTTGGGTTCACACCATAACATTGTCAGTTTGTTTATTGACTAATTTTACTCTTTCCACTGCAGGTAACCGCAGCGTCGCATCCAGTGAATCAAGAAGTGCAAAGCATCACCAAAGAGGTTAACTTTAAAGTGTTATCTGTGATGGTGTCTTTCTATCGATTCCAAATTATTTTTGTTGTTGGTTGACAGCAAGTGGATGAGAAGTTCAGAGTGAATCCACATGATGACATCAATTCAATATTATCTCATCGCGTGATTAAGGATAATAACTATTGCAGGCTTTGGACACAATCATTGGTTATAATGCTTATCAGTCGTTGGCAACCGACCAGTGGAGTCAACAAGCTGTGGAGACGATCACAACAAATTTGGTTAAACTTAATAAGCCGTATAAGTACGTTGGTAAGTTGTTAGATGATCGCTTCATTTTTTTTGCTCGTATTATTCTTATTATCAGTATCGTTATGAACTTATTTTCAGTGACCTGTGTTATCATGCAAACGGGTGCGGGTGCTGGTCTGAGTGTTTCGAGCACGTGCTATTGGGATAAGACGTCGGATCGTATGTGTTGTTTTGTTGGTTATTTGTAGAGTGCATTAGGAATGATTTGAAAGAATTCATATTGCATGAAAGTGAGACTGAACGAATGATGGAGATAGCTTGTTTTGGTTGATAGTTTTAGAGGAAATCTTCTGAAGTTTGTGATTGCTTCATGATGAAGTGATATTATACGGACGACTACGATTCTAAGTGAGAAATGAATATGTGAAATTGGCGTCATTTAACGAACGCAATTTGTTTAGAGTCGTTTACGATACGATGGGAAAACAAGTCAGTGGTAACCATAGTGAACGTGTTCGCGATTGCTGTTTGAAATACGGATTCAAATGAGTAGCATGTAATATAGGCAAAGTAATTTGCCATTCAATTGAGTTATATCATTGATTCTCTTCTCGACGAATTGTTGTTTTCAAGCCAAATTATTTGATCAGAATGGTAATTGGCCATTAAAACATTGTGATCGTTTTCCGCTTGAAAATTTTTTTGGCATCAAATTGTTCCACAGTACCATCAGAAAATGAAACTGTTCTAACTTACTAAGGATATTTTCTGTAACTATAATGATTATTGTATTATCGTTCCATCATTATACTTGTCATCTTTTACCATTTCATACTGGCACATCTATTTGTCAGTTTTCTTAAACACTTGATGCATTATTATTTTTTTCGCTTAAATTGTGAGCCTTTATTCCCCGTGTGTAATCTTCAGATGAAGCTTATAAGTGTTTAATAATATAGAACCTTATTTCCTTTCTGGTTTGTTCGTTACTTTGTGAATATATTGCTAGATCTGTTTGATCGTTTTTGGACACTTCATGTGTAGGATGTGTTCACAGCTTTGCTCATACGGAGAGAGATTTGAACGGTGAATTGTTGTTGTTCAGCGATATTCATTTTCTAAAGGGTATGTGGAAACGGAAGTATCCAGTCGTTTCACTGGAACGTCATTCACCACACATTATATGTTCTATCCGTCTCAGTTTTGTGCTCTTTTTTCTCTTCATTATAACTCGTTTCATTTTCCTCAACTTCTGTTTATTGAACTTTTCGCATGGAACAATAAATGGAAAACGATTTTATGTTTCCAAAAAGTGAACAGTAACAAAAACGCGATTCATTGAATTTCGAGACACGACAGGATAGTTGCTGTAAAGACACTATATTTTGAAATTGATGAACGGGGAATAAATAAATAATCGAGCGAATAATTATGTGGCTTTAGAGTGCTGTTCATATTGACCAATGATACGGCCATTTTTGTGTTGCGGGTTGTTTCAGTGACCGAGTAGAGAATATTCAAAGCATTACTTCTTTATTTGATTATTATCGTCGTCACTCAATTCGTGCTGCAATAATATTCGTCAGTGTAATATGTGTATTTGACATTAAACGTACAGTATTTGCTTGGTTGCAGACCAACGGGGTCGAGGTTATGATTTCACCAAGATTTTCGAGAGGAGCTTACTGCGAGAGCAAAATGAAAATTTCCTAAAATATGCGGCGATAAAGGCCGCATTGAGCACACAAACAGTGTTACTGCATAATCAAATTGGAACCGAAAAAAATTCAAACTGTTTTTGAAGCAACGCTTGAAATTCGTTTCCGGCAAGTAATCGACGGCTTATGCATCGATTTTTTCCGGAGGAATATCTCAAAGGAGGTAATGATATTATCAACGCACAAGATTTTTTAAACAGGATCTGTAGAGGTCGAAGAGGGGACTACCGGAGGAAATGCGATGCTTGTGGTTGTAGTTTTTTTGGTTTTATTATTGTTTCAATGAAAATTTTTGATTTGAGTTAATTAATTTGATAAGTTGATCACATCATTCATTGACGACTGTACAGTGTATGATTTCTACTCGATCAATACAAGATGCTTATTTGTGTACTTTCAAATCCCGAGATATTCATGCGATAAGGTGAATCGATCGAATTCGACTGCGTCAAGATAACTTTCAAAGCATAAACGAATTTGGATGATGATTCCATTCCCTATGCATAGATGCGTGACAACACATCAATATATACCATTCACGTTTAAACATTTATTTCGAACGAAGGGATTCGAAGTTATACAGTCCATCTGCCACTTTGGATGTGATATACAATGCAGATGATATACAATCACTGAACAGGATGATTCTGGAAATCATCGGGTGTTAAACCTCTTTTCAATAATGCCCGTAATCTAATTTTATGTTATATTACAAACTGTAACAACACGCAGTAGTTATAACAATAACAATAAGACTCCAATGTCAGCAATTGCATCTTTCCGATTATTGTATCATTCAGTCAAAACCGATTGCACCGAATTCTCGCTTGCATCAGCGTGCTTCTAGCACAAAAACAATTTCCTTACTAAATATTTTCCTGCCCTTTTCTCAGTGTTCATTTTCACCGATACGAAACAACAATGATTTCAAAGCATAATCCAACGAAATATACAACCGCTTATGTTCAACATTATTCGGAAAGAACCACTCGATGCGCCTATTATTATTATTACTATTATAACGCACTCTTGAAAATATATAATACATTAGAACATCTCTTCAAGAAATAGTAATGAGCTTTTGCTTCTGCTGAGATGACGACAACGGAACAAAACAACCGCAGAGTAAATACACATAAAACTGACTATCACTTGAATAGTTACAGACGTATAGGAATCGCAAACGGAAAAATCACTTATGGAACGGTATGGTAACTAGTCATTCTATTTGGATCAAGCATCGAAATTGGAATTTGCATAGGAAAGGAATTTTGCATCATTGATTTGAAATCAACAAAGCAAACTTATTCACAACTGTCTACTCTTATCTCTGCAACAGAATCATCGTGTTCACAACGAAACACTGTGAACGTCAGTTGGAGTTTTGAAACAACACTCTTTTAAAAAATTTACAGAACGACTGTTAAGACGCTATGAAGAGTGGAACTTTGGTACTTGAATGGAGTTTCTTGTTGAAGCATAGCTGAACACACCGATCTGGCTGAGATATCTAGTGAGTTGGGCTTATAAGTGGGAGAGCCGCGATTGTGAAAATAATTTCTCTTCAATGCAATGAGCAATAACAACTGCTCTTCTCGGAACAAAACGTTCCGGTTACAGATTTCCTCATTATGGACTAAAATTGGTCTCTGATCCAATTTCATGAACCTCTCCCTAAACCACTGGACGTGTTACATTACGAGAGAGTGGTTCAGGTATAAATGCAACGAACAGATTACAGGAAATGGTTGATCATTTTCATTAATATCACAACTGTGAACAACATCCAGTGGAATGCATACCCATCAAGGAATACCTAAAACCAATATACGAGAATACCTCACCATCTCTTGGCTACGATGCCTCAAAATTGAATTTCATTCAAGTGCTCTATTTCTCCCTTCATAAATGATTATCGCAAATCAGTCATTCATTAAATTTAGAAAACAGATCTGGGATCAACACAAGACCATATACATCTCGAATTACGTTCGCATCCATTCGATGCCAGCAAAATCTAACAAACTGTACTGACAATATGTTATACTCACCACCATTCCAACTCTCAAAGATACTAAATGAAGATAGACTTGCTCTCTTGGCAAGTGATTCTGTGTGATGAGATTGTTAGGCAAACTGCTACGCTAAAATCCACCTTATCAACACTGTTCAAAGTGATCATTATACAAGTAGAAATTGAACCCGTGAAAAGAAGCTAATCAACAGACGATACTATAGTGACTCATAGCGGAACAGATAACGGACGGAATTTCTGAAGAAAGTTGTTAATTTTTAAGGTGGAAAAAACTCTGAACAATGAAAAAGTGATTGAGGTTACGTGAAAACAAAAACTTGTCAATGAAAAAATTATAGAGATTGAGCGAAAGTATATGGCCATGTACAATGTGCTCATTACGAGAGCCACTGCTTATTGTTCCGAACATATGCACACATTTCACCATTCGAAGTCGTTTCACAAGATGGCCAAAAGATACAAGTATCTCTGTCACTACAACACAGCAGTATTACTGCTGTAAAGAAAATCATCGAGCAAATGTGACAAGGCCTGAAATGTACAACAATTTATACGACAGTTACAACAAGACAGTCGTTTTATGAAACATAACAACTATTCATCACCGTATGATCACAACTTTAGAATGATGCAAAAAGCAATTAAGTTCGTGAACAAAAAAATAATAATCCAAAAGTGACGCGTCACCTTCTTTCCATGAAGAATCCTACAACGTAAAACCACATGAAAAGTGCTTGATCAACAAGAAAGGTTGGATGAAGCCAATGTTTAGGTATGAGTAATACTGGGATAAGCCACTGCAGACAATACATTGCATTCAGTTATAACCTTCAAATTCCATGAAGAATTAAGGAAGAATAGATATAGATAATGCGTTTTCAGTATGAAAAAGATTAACGAATTATAAAGTATGCAACGAATCTGGCATCTAAAATGACTAGCAGCATATGCACAGGGCAGGATCACTACACGCAAAATCAGAAAGCAACCGAGCGAAAACAAGTTCAACCTGAAATGATCTGATTTAATTTCCGAGATATGTTTGCGCGACAAGTCCATGTAAAATCGCACGTTCACGAATTTGCGTACATATGGGAAAGATCCAGGTGAATTTCAACATCATTTGCTCGAACTGCACTCAGTCTTACTCTTGAGCTTTACTTAGAGGGCTAAAATGTACCTGCTAGTTCCACAGATTGCCCACCGTTCGATTGATTGGGCTATCGTCTAATTGTAAGTTCGAAAACAATAACAACTTCGTCGGAAACGGTTTATACGACAGAAATAATTGAACTTCTTTTGAACACGATAATCTCGCTGTTTAATTTGATGAAGACCTGTGATATGACTAATGTAATCTGAAACGAGAGAATAAAAATAAGCTAAATCAATCTATCAAGAAATAGCACAACTTGCTCTTACCGAATTACTAAGTTTCAGTGAGCGCAGCGTACAGCAAACCCTCACTTGTTCGTCGTGAAGCGTAAAGAAGTGCCGAACTATAGCAGAAGTGCTGCCGAACTATATGTTATTGGCACATAACCATCTAATTCAGTGTTGCTGCTTTCAAGCGCACATCTAGTACCAATGAGGTTTAATATGAAACAGTGGCACCGTTATATGTTAAAAGTCGTGTGCACGAGGGATCGAATGTGTTCTTCATTTAAATGCGCATCTCGTCACCTTTCTTCCCATCTTAGAACAAAATTTTATTTGTTGACATCATTTTGTACAGCATAACGAATTCTATAGGATCTCAAATTGGCGATTTGATATTCAGCGTTGTTTTATCCCACTGACAATGTTAGTAGTTCAAAGCATAAGCGCAATCTAATCAGAAAGGATTTTTGAAATTCAACCAGAATTTTTCATTCAAAAAATCGTCTCACTTAATAAAGTGTTAGAAGTGTATGCGAAACCTACGTCGTTAGATGTAAATGTAATTGTATAGTGCATGCCGTAGAGTGAATTGGCACGAAACTGATTCAGGTTGAATGAAAGCGAAATGGCACATCAGTCGGTTTTGAATGAAGTTCTCGACATAATTGGTGGTATCGTAGTGCAAATAGCAAGGAAGTATCTGTTGATCAAACCCGAGAAGAAATCAGTTTTTTATTTGATTGTCGTATTTATATTATCCATATTTGCTGTGTATGTACCATTATCCAATGAGTATTACTTTGTACAGGTGAGTAATCAGTTTATAATATTCACAACGTTAAATAATCACTTGACAAATCACTCGAGGCTGATAAAAAGCAAAAATATGAGTTGAAGACGGCTTATTTTTAAATGAAAATGGTTCATTTCAAAGTGAGAATTTTTTTAAAAAAATTCCAAAACTAAAAACAATAGCTTATGCAATCTAATCGCCGTTGTTATTTGCACATGTGGATGTAAGTATTGCCGTTTTAGAAGGATAACATTTTGAACAAATATGGCGTAAAACTTGGTTGGTTTTGGACATGTGTCATTGTGGGACCGTTCGTTTGGTATACTTCCAGGGCACACGGAAAAAATGCGCAAGGTGATGATCATTTTCAACATATTTTCACCAATAAAATTACAAACTGAAATTTATAATGAAAAGTTTGAGGCGAATCATTTTGTGTGCATGAAGCAGCGTTTTGAGTTGCTTGCAGTTTTTCAAATTCAGTCGTCAGATTTAAGAGTGATAGGGTGGTTATTTGTATCGTTTATTTAATAAGGTAATTATTTATATCGTTTATTGAAATTCTGTCTTTTCAACGAAACGTTGCCGTTTCGTCATTTTTTGAAGATTACTGCCAAAAGAAGACATTGCTTTTTTTTCAACCTAATGAAAGTTAAACCGCATTTGATATTGGTAAATATCGATGATCTGAAATTATACGCAAATCGAATGATTTCTAGAAGCAGTAATGGATTTGAGTCGTATTGTTGTTGCAACTGCTTTGTGGTACTTTTGTACGAATAGGTGAGTGCATCTTGCTTCCTTGTAATTTTCGTTCGATTCTCTGCTTTTGAATGTAAAGACACATTGAAATTTACCGTGTTTTATTGACAAGTTAATGATCGTTTAAAGTTTCGTAACATTCGAACGAATGACTGGTTATTGTCATGGCGCTAAGTCGAGTTCGAGAAGTACGTGCTACTCGAATGGTGGTAAGTGGATGCCAGGAATTGATATAAGTGGCCATTGTTTCCTTCTTATCTACAGCATTTTGATTATGTGTGAAGAGGTACCTTATTTAGATTGTTGACTAGTTGATTGATTGGCTTTCAGTTGTAAAACAGATTTGAAGCTTATTCATCATCGTTACATAAGTTAAACTTCCCTTCATTTTTTCCACTTTAATCTACTCATAGTTTAGTCAGTGTCATTTCGCCAACTGCATACGACGTCTAAGAACAAGAAATTAATGAAGAATAGTAAATTTAATGTGACAGTGGATGATTACGTGTCTGTTGCAAGAATGTTCTTCGTTTCAATGCTCCTTCTTCATCTTATCTGGGTACGCTTTTATTATTGTTCCTTCGGCTGTTCTGATTCCACAAATCACAACTATTATGGTTATATAATTTAACTAAACAGATGCGGATAGATATGAAGATATCACAGTAGTTGTTCTTAATTCTATAAGAACTGTGATTTGAGACTAGGTTTTCTTTGCTGGCCGCCAACCGAACTTTCTATCGATGACCACCGACGAGGTAAATTTCGATCCGTGCCCACAAACGGGCATGCGATTCGCTAGCCACCAAAGAGAATCTTTCCAGCGTTAGATGGGTGACCACCGATCAGTCAGCCTTTTCCGATTTCGGTTGGTGAACATTGGCCTGTTTTCGGTAATCACTGACCTGATCTTAAAATAACCACCGCACTTACACAACAAAAATGAAGTACCCGTCTTTTCGAACTTTCAAATCCGGCAGTGTTTTGCAGACGATTACGAATGAATAGTAATTACAAGATATTTTTGATGGAAGATGGGTGAAATTTTCAGGATTTTGAATTGATAATATCGATACTTCATTACCATCATGTCTTTCATAAGGTTACGGGTGCATTAATAGCAGTTTCATGTTGGTTCGTAACGTATCGATTCTGGTTTCCAATTACACAATTTCCACCAATGCCGTTTCACCAACGAATAACGTCGACCAGATAACAACTTGCTACGTGTGCTTTATTTGCGCTTATCCATATTACATAACATAAAATTTGTCCAAAATATTACTTTCTTACATTTTTGTTCTTTATCAAACAATTTTCGTCGCTGTTTTTATTCACATAATTGTTTGTTAACTTCAGTTATTCTCAGCATTATCATACACATGCATTCGAACCTTGCTTTATATACATAACTCGTTGCGAATGTTTGGTCATAGGCAGAAACCACTTCTAACGGATGCAATTCAAAACAGCAATATGATATTGTGTTCGAAAAATAAGAGCATTATCGACCTCAGCGAGGGAGTCATTACTCAGTCATTATCGACTCTTTACTTGGAGCACGTTCTGCAAAGAAGTGGTATCTCGTTTAATAGTCAGCACAATGCTGCTTCTTTGCAGAATTCACCAAAAATTATTCCACATTTATCGAATAGAGCATAGTAATAGTTGTTCTTTTACTCTCTCCGAGAAGTAGAGAGCTGAAGTAGAAGTAACAAAGATGAAAATGCACTGATTTACATTTGGAGTGATGAAAATGTCAAAATCAGCTGTGTATATATGGGAGAGATAGATGTGGTAGGAAGATTGAGGGACAACTCAAAGAAACGAGATTGAAGTGGTTTAGACAACTGTATAGAGGAAGAGATGAATATATTTGGAAATATATGTTGAATTTGAAAATACTGGGAAAGAAAAATCGAAGTCATCCATAACGAAGCTTTCTGGTTGCAATAAAGGGAGATAGATATAGGCAGTTGCGATAATTGAAGAAGATGCGATTAATCGCGTATGTCAGCAGAGAACGATTTGCTATGGCTACGGCTGATGGGAGAAGCTGAAAAATATGTTGTATTAGGGACATTTGCATGCAGCGAATATGTTCGCAAAGTGGAACATTACTCGGGAATGATTGAAGTTTTGTCACAGATCCTTTACGTACGAATACGCTTGTGGGTATAAATGTTTAAGTGAAAGTGGTGTTCTCTGAAACAGTGTTCGAAAGTTTCAGGTGTCCGAATTTTAGATGATAACTTCAATTGGTCTTAAATCGAGGTTACAATGTATTTTCTTCTTGCTCTATATGCAAGGAAATAAACATGCCATTCATGTGTTATGGGATAATAGAGTTGATGAAGGAGATCTCAAAAATTGCTAATAATGAATGCGTCATTGATTGCTATTGTGCATCTTTTTGTAATGTTTCGCCTTTATAGATCAACTTGAAATACCACATTGACCAGTTGTGAACTGTTAATAAAATGTTTCCGTTTTTTTAAGCACCAGTTAAGGTTGTTTTATCGATGAATGTTTACCGAAAATGTTACCAAATGCGATGATGAGTATGTCAATGGAATTTCTGATAATTTTATTGTGAGTTTCATTGATCGTCGAAAGCGTCGTTGTGGTCATAAACGTATATTAATATTTACATGATGTGCCTGAGTAGTGTCAATGAATAAACCGCTTTAGTTTTTTACCTATAAAGATGAAGCTCTGAACATCGTATTAAACTGTCGAACTTATTCCAAGCACATGTTCGATATGATCAAAGTTGTTTGTATCTTAAGCCCGTCTACTACATTCATACACATGTGCAACATTGTGCACAAAGACTTTTGATCAGTCGTCTTCTTGCGACGCAAAGCTGTGTAAAAAGTAAAGAATACTGTCAAATAAGTAGATCATTATTCTGCTGTTGACGGACTCTGTGATCATTTCCAAAATCTATTCGATAACGCTAATCTGTTTGTGTCTTCCACAAAAGAATAACGCGTTCCTTAACTTATCTGCTCTCTGTGCAATAATTCTTTTCGTTTTTTCTTGCTCGTTGATTTTCAAAACAATCCTCTGCTCGTATTCTTTTGCATGTAACATCCACTTATCCACCCTTCTCAAATCAATCGAAGTACAATTAAAGTACCCTATCACATCCGAGTTCTCCGTTACCATTGTAGTCGAATAATGAGTGCAGTAATGAGATGCGATAAGCCTCTATCGTCACATGCTATCTCAAAAAATAAATAAAATTAACAGATCATTTAAAATAAACAAACAACGAGCCCAAAAACCGAAGAATTCGGGTACGAAGGGATGGATATAAACCACATTGTTTCTCAACTCAGTAGACAAAGTGTGTCTGAACCGGTCTGAATGATTCGAATCACTGAACATCTACCTAAAAAAAGGAAATCAAAACAGTGGAATGTCGTCAACACTTGCACACTTGTTTGCTCTTTTACTTCCACGCTCATCGAAAACAACATTTCCATGCTCTTATTCAAGACCCGTCCACCTTACCTGTCAGATTGATGCGCAATCACCACTTCACGACTATTATCACTGAACACCATATTTCTATTCGACTTATTATTGTACCTTCCCACTCTGTTTTAGTTACACAAATTCGTGTTAAAAATTCCATGTTTGTCAGTCTAAACGATGCAATTAGTTGCCGATTCAAAGACTAGGCGATTGCCATCGTGAGGATTTCGTTGAATGTCATGCAGCCGCCGCCATTGGAACGGACCGACATTCACGTTAGCACATCTGTATTTGCAATGCAAAGAATTTTGTATTGCAAGAACCCTCTGGTTGTACATTCAGCAGAAAAGCACAAATACCATTATTACTTGTTCATAGATCGAGAAATCAAAGACGTGTTACGGTCATATCTAGAGAACTCATAATAGTTGTGTTATGAAGCAAGCGACCGTGAACAATGGATAAGGAAATATCCTTGTTTGTACTTCTGTAATGCATTCTTTCATCGTTTATCTTATTCGGCACAATATTACGATCAGTAAACCCATTTGCCGCCCTCTTTACTTGCTTACCATCAAAGGTAGACACAGTTTCGTTAATCATTACTTTTCCCGTTACGATTGCCTTAACTTTCAAGACTTCACGAAAATAATACTTTTCTCGGGGCATAATAATTTCATGTAAAATTTTCTTCGAGAAATTGAAATGATACTGTATAATACTCTCAGAGGTACACGTTACGTATTTTGAAGTGAATATGGAGATCATATATCTGCAGGCATTCTTAATGATCGATAGTTGTTTAAAAAATAGCAAGAGGATATCTGCTGCAATAATTTCTACTCATCTCGAGAAGTTCAATCAGTGTAAGGCCACATTCAACGACAATCGCCGACCTCTTCGTTTGAGGATTGAACGTTAACATTTTAGTTAACGAATTATTGAGCATCGCACTAATATTTTGGCATTGGCACATCACCCGCGAGCGAGACACAACCCCACAATGTACCCGTTTCTAGTTTCATGATCTTACTATCGCGAAGACCGTTCAGACTGCACCGAATGGTTGTGTCCAGTTTGTAGTTACGTCTTCAACGTACATAATGCAAAATTGATCTGATGAGCGTCAAACGTTCAACGAAAAACGAACTAATTTATTCGCAGTCACAAAGAATAAATACAAGGCACATCTTGGCTTGCACATACTGACCCACTTGTGTTGATATTTTCGTGAACGCGACATCGATAACGACACCTATCTCTGACCGTAACCTTTTAATTCAGTTGCACACTTGCAACTGCGTTCGCCATGAATCTTTTGTTGCTTCATTAAAAGGCTGTTATGTCACCATGAGGTGTTGATAATAATCTTCACTCACTCGATACGTTTTTTATGTGTCTCCAAAATGGCAGCTGATAAGCGTGTTGTCGTTGTAACTGGATTCGGCCCTTTCGATTCATTTCAAGAAAACCCAAGCGCAGCCGTTGTGCGTCGTTTAGAAGAAGAAGGTATGTGTGCTTATTTTATTGTGTAAACATGCTAAGTGCGATTGTGAAGCACTGTCGCTTCAATAAATTGGCTTATTTGCATTGCGAAGTGAAGCTGTCAGAGTGCCGACACCGGTTCTTATTAATTTCATTTTCTGTGAAAAGTGTATTCCACAATACAGGTATACCTCATGTTACGTCGGTAATTGCTTGCAGGAGAGGCGAATTTACTTGTCACTAGGCTGAACCACAAATAACCATTGCCAGTTCTGTGCTTTATTTATAAATGCATTTTTAATAATATACCCTTAATAAGAATCTATTTTAAGCCAACAAACAAATGAATTTTATTATTTAATATAGTAGGGAGAAAAAAGTAAGCTAAATTTATGAATATATATATATATATATATATA